GCTTCTAGCCGGGGTCATTGTCACCTTAGTTGCCGAAGTCCTTTTGTTAGCCGATGTCACCCCTTGCCGGAGTGCCATTCCGTGTAGCTTGTTAAATACGCCTTGTTATTAGCCGATGTCATTGCCTCGTCAGAGAGCCCATACCGCTTTACTTGTTGAACACCCTTCCACCATGCTTTGTCTGGTCTGTCAGCCACCTTTTCAGGGAAAAACCCAACCAGTTGCCGCCACGTGTCTCAGTAGAGGGTTAACCCAGAACCGGGTAAAGAAAACTATCATTTGGTATCATAACCTTGCCTTGTAGAGAGAGAAACTCTAGGAGGAAGAAGGAGTTTTAGAGTGAGGAAGTAATTCTTCAAGCTTGATTCCTAGAGATCGAACCGTTAGATCCGTGTTCTAAGGTTAGATTCTTGATCTGCTCATGATGTTCTTTATGTTCATGTTATTGCATTGCATGATCGGATATGATTTGAAAGCCATGCATTGTTTTGAGGTTCGATTTTAGAAAAGAGAAAATGACATTCATGTGTTCTTCAAGAAAGTCTTGTTTTGATCCGAAAGCTTGCATAAAGATTCATGTTTTTGTGTTTTTTCCGCAAGAATTCCAAGTACGGGTACCCAGGTCCATGTTTTCAAACTCATAGCATGAAAATCCCAGATTTGTGATGACAGATTATGATTGAACATTCATATTTTTCATGTTTTCACACTCATGTTCTTCATGTTCATCAGCAGAGGGAAACCCAGAGTTTCCCGACTCTTTTTCCTTGCATGTGGCCCTCGGAGAACACACCTCGGCGAGGAGGTGTGGAACCTCGGCCTAGACCTGGTTGGTGCCCAGCATGTTTTCCGAAATCATTTGTGTACATACGAAACTTGTTGAAGGTGCATTCAATAGGCTTTGCCATGTGTTTGTAGGACTTGGGCTTGTCTCGACCCCACGTTTGAAGAACTATGTGAGTGTATTTTTAATAAAGCTATGTTACACTTGCTTTCATAAATCTCGTCTTGCCTTGTTTTGAAAAGTACTTGATCTAGCATGAATGACTATCCCTACTTGTATATTAAGCACTATCTTGTTTTGATGACATTTCTTGAAAGTCCTTAGTTGCAGGGGACTATAATGCAACTGCACTCTGTCTTGAAAGTCCTTAGCTGCAGGGGACTATAATGCAACTGCACTCTTGTCTTGAAAGTCCTTAGCTGAGGGGACTATAATGCAACTGCACTCTTGTCTTGAAAGTCCTAGCTGAGGGACTATAATGCACTGATCTTGTCTTGAAGTCCTTAGCTGAGGGGACTATAATGCAACTGCACTCTTGTCTGAAGTCTAGCTGCAGACATATGCAACTGACTCTTGTCTTGAATTGTCATCCCCTTGTATTAAGTAGATGTAATAAATCCAAAGAACTTGAAAGGCGGCAATGAACTTGATTTTTCCCTTGATTGTAAAGTATGCTATGTATTGTTTTGAAAGAAATCTTGGATATCAATCATGCAAAACCTTTATTTCTAATATCATTCACTGAGTACCCAAGCTCACCCTCTCTATATATATGTAGGTGATGAGCAAGAAGGCAATGAGGCCTAGACGTGTAGCCGATGTGTTTTTGGGTGCATTGCCGACGTGTTTTGGATTAGCATTTTGTACCATCTTGAAGATTATGCTTCTTAGCCTATATTTCATGTGTACTTGTATATGTCGGCTTGAGAAGCCTTTTGGTCAAGATGTATTTTGTATCTATTCCCTTATTGTATCTAAGTTGTAAGACTTTGTAAAATGTATGTCATTTCATTGGACTTAAGCACGGCTCTCATGGACTATTAGATTCAGTATATGTATATATGTTGCTTCCGCACTTGTAAGCCCCATATTTTATACTCTGATTGTGTATGATTCTTGTAAGTCGGCCTTCGGTAATCTCGGATTACTAGCCATCACGGCACCAAACTACTAGGGGCGGTTTGGAGGCGTGACATACATATTGACAAGAACAGTAAACTCCAATGCCCAAAATTTGCTGCAATCAAAAACATATTGACAAGAACAGTAAATCAAAAACTCAAGTTTCTACATTTCCAAAATTCCAAGCTCTAATATGAGACCTTAACTGGTTGTCCAAACCTCAAATTGAGACATCAAAACCTCATCAATCCTATTAACTCATGTCTGACTCAATCAACACATATCCCATAATGCCCAAACAATTAGCATAATGGCCAATAAAAATCAACATAACAATCAAGTTATAATGCCCAAACCCTAACAAGCAATCATAACCCTAATAATCAATAATTGAGGAATCTGGAAACATGTTCTACAAATTCAAGCCAAAACCAAAACCCTACACAAATTTCAACTATTTTTTTCTTAGCAATCAAACAAAAACAGAAACCCTAGTTTTTTATTGTGGTGTCTTTTTTTTCTGCTGAAGATCCGTAGCTGAAGATCTGTTATGCGAATCAACACCCGTAGCTGATGAGAGGATTTGAAAAAGATTAAGGGCTCGAGGAGATAGTGAGTAAGGAGAGAGGAGAGGATTTGCAAGGAGAGAGTGAGTAGACAGAGATGAGAGGAAGAGATCTCAACTCTGAGGAAAGAAGGAAAAATGAAAAAATAAAAAATAAATTGAATTGCTGAAACGACGTAAAAGTTTTTCGAACTATAAAACATTTTCAAATAACAATTTCCCAAACACCGATTATATATAAAATTAAATTTTCAATCTTTGCGCCAATTCTAGTCACCCACAAATAGAGAGGCACGATTCTTCCCCTTTTTAAGCAAGATAGAATTTCCAAACACAGCATGGCTCTTCTTTTCCAATTCTCTTTGCTCTCTTTTCTGATTCATTGTCCCTAATTCAGTTTTTTTTAATCTGCCATCTCCGAAACTACCATCTCTCTGGTCTCTGGAATCCTCTCTCTCTCTCTCTCTCTCTCTCTCTCTCTCTCTAGAAATAATCTCTCGCTTGCCTTTTCGCACGCACTCGAGCACCTTCACCACCACCAACGTCCTTCGCGACCTCACCCGCAACTACGACTGCGACTACACCGGCTCTACGACTATCTGTTAAGTTCTCTTTCTCTCACTCATTTTTTGCTCTCACTCTGCCCTTTCCCTCTCCTTCTAATTTTTAAACCCTAACAAGTGCTTTTTTAATGCTAAGCTTGGTCAAAGTCGTCTATCTCCTATGTGATTTTTGATTTTGATCCAATTTGTTCACTTCCAAGTTCTTTTTCTCTAATTTTTATGTGTAAATTTATGCACACCACCTGTTTGCTAATATGCCTCTGAAAATAGAAAGTTAAAATCTGTTGGTGTCTCAACCATGAAAAAGAGGCATTCTAACTACCAGCACCAACATTAAGCTAAAAATCTGGAATAAAAAATTTATACTCTTGGTCTAGTAACAAATTGATGAACCTTACCAAGCTTAAACAAAAGAAATCTAAGGCTGCTTTCAGAAGGTGCAGTATAGCCATCAGCAGGCTCGGCCTTGAGATTTCTGGGGCACGAAGCCGATAATCAATTAATAAATTTTGGGGCCTTCACATAAAAATGAAAAAAAAAATTGAAGGTAAAAGACAAAAGATTGTGTCAAAATCACAAAAAATACTTAGTATTATAGTACAAAACTAATATAAGTGTCGCTTGATCCTCGCTTTTCTTGCCGTTTTAGAAGCAAATAAATAAATCATACTTGCATAATTTAATTTTTTTGCAAAATCATTTTCAATGATAACAATGCTAATTATTTTAAATGGGCCTTTCAATTTTTTAATGGGTGAATTTATTTTAAGTTAGTTTGGACCTTCTTTAATTTTTTTTATTTTTAAAAACATAACCTAAAATATTACAATAAATTATAATAGGAGGGGACCCTTTTTTTGGGTCTATTTTTAATGGACACAATGTTACTTTTTTGAGTGAGCTTTTCATTTTTTGATGGGGTCAATTTATTTTAAGTTAGTTTGAGCCTTCTTTAATTTTTTTTAAATTTAAAACATACCTAATATATTACACTAAACCAAAATAGGAGGGCTCTTTTTTAAGCCTATTTTGAGGGGCCCTAGGCATGGCCTGGTTGGCCCATGCCCAGGGCTGGCCCTGGCCATCAGTTCTAGGTGGTGGTGATTATTAGGAAATTGTTGAGATATAGAAGGAGCTAGAATTGATTGAAAGGCCCATCAAATAATGTAAACTGTCTGCTATCTTCTTTGATAGTCAACTCATTAATTCCATTAGTCCTGTAAAAAAATTTCCATTTATTTTTTTTATTATTACTATTATTATTTTGTTTCTTATTGAAATAATATTACAGGTGTGCACCTTCTACTGAAAGGAGTCTTTTTCGTATGGAAGCCCATGCAGATATGAACATGTTAAAGTTTCTCGATCATAGTCCCTCCATTGCATCTTCGTCCACAATTTCTTACCAATTTTTCATTTCTGATTCAATTTTTGGTCTCATCCATTCTGTATATCTTGTATCAGGAATTGGCGTTGTAGTTCCCCAACCTCTGGAATGAATGTCAACTCTACATTGAGGGCCTGCCCAATTATGTAGAAAGGTTTCATACTTTGTCATTCCTAGTGTCATGTGGCATTCACAAAAAAGAAAAGTAGGAAATTGTTGACTGCTACAAAGCAAAACTCAGGTATAATTATGTGGGTCATGTACTTCTCTTGAAATGGTTATTAGTTCTCCAATTCTCTTAGGTATAGGTTGTCTCAGGTTTGTTATAGTAGATTCTTCTATTAATATATTCTATAAAAGTGCAATTATTGCTCCTTTAATAAGTTTAGTTTTGATACGAGGATTGGGCACAAATCCACATAGTTAGTTACTCAGTCCAAAACTATTAAAATATGATAATTAATGATGAGTTAGCTATTAGAAATGATTAGAGATGGGAATTAAGGGTTTGAAGCATGATGCTGTGGCATACAACACCAATGATTGATGGGTGTTTGTAGAATTGGAAAGGTTGGAAGGACAGAAGAGTTTTTTCAGAGAAATGGGGTTGAGTGGTGTGGAGAGTTCTTGTGTCACTTTTGATCATCTCATTAATGGGTATTGTAAGATTGGGGATGTGAGGCTTTGGAGTTTTTGAGAGTTGCGATGAGAACACATGAGATTACACCGACGAGGAAGAGTTACGAGTTTCTAATAAAGGGATAAGAGAGGAGGCACAGAAGAAGCATTGAAGCTTCAGGCAGATATGGTAGGGAAACGGTTTGAACCGAATTTGGAGATTTATAGCGCTTTTATTGAAGCAAATACAAAACAAGGGAATGATGAACTAGCAGGGATGTTAAAGAAGGAAATGCTAGAAAACTCAAATGCCTAAGAAACAAGATTAGCTGATTTTATCCCTCAGCATTGTGAGGTACCTTTGTTTTGTGGTCAGATTGCTGCAATCTTAAATGTATGATTTTTGTTTTATGTAACATGAATTAGTGTGCATTTTGAAAGTTTTTGTTTTCTTGGCTTTGTACATAGAAGAAATTTGAGCCCTTGCCTAATCATTCCTTTTGCAGAGAGGCAGGCAACACATCTTTCTTGACGTACAGCTTGCTATGTGGTAAAATATTATTTTGGGGGCAGGTGCAACTACCTTAAGTTGGACTTTGCTTCTAGGTAAGTAAATACAAAACCTGGTGAAAGATGCAAAATTCAACTTTAAGGGCTTTCCTTTCTAAAATGAAAGGTTTTTTTTTTTTTCATCCCATTTGCATAATAACATGTATAGTTTAACTAGGAATTCTTAACACTTGATCAAAATTGGCTTACATTTTAGTAAATTGATGAATTTGTTTAATCCTTTTTAGAGAAGATTTTAACAGATGATTGCTTGTTTTGAAATCCTCATTGTGAACCACGTCAACCTTCCACTCAAAGTAAAGAATGCTTTGTTCATTCCATGTCTTTGATTTCATTGCCTACTCATTCTCTTATAAAAGATGAGAATGCAACTTTCTTTCTGTATATATACTGGTAGATTTTTTTGTGGGTTCTATTCACAGAAGACATAACTACCTTAATTGAAGTTTTGAACAGGTACTTCAAAATTTAGCCTACTTTTGCAACCTCACTAGTTGATTTGTACTGCATTCCTATGAACATCACTATATGTTATTGTTCTACTCAGCCATGGAACTTTCTATTTCAATCTGTTCACAGTCCCTGAGGAAATGTTAATACCATTATAAAAAAAAAAAAAATTGACATTTTGAAAACAGATATATCGACTTTTAGGAGCTTTTATGAGCATATGTCCAAAATTTAGAAGAGGCTTTGAGATCTCAGAAATAAGATAATACTGTTATAGTTTTTTCGTCCTCTTTGTTATTGTTCGATTGATAGATGTTCTATCTTTACTGATGATAATTATATTTGGTTTCCATGGCCGGTTGTTTTCGGCTAAATGTCATTTTTTGGGTAAAGCTTCTTGCCATTGGTTGCTGATAGAGGGGAGAGATTAGAAGTACTCAATACCATATTATTGTGACAGGGAGGATTTCATACTTTTTTTGCTCTTTTTTTCAATTTTATTTTTATTTAGTCACTCAATGAAATGCCAAATTAACTTTGTAACAATTAGGATCTGTGAAGAATCAGAAGGTTAATCCTAGCCAAACTCTTTACTACAAGTCTCAAAATTCATTGAACTCTTACCTAACAAAAAGAATAATTCAAATGAGAAGTTGTTAAATGAAGAATAATTCAAAAGGTTTAATAGAAAAAAATGGTTAAATCTTACCAATCAGCATTGCTTTTGTTTTGACTTTCAGGTTGTGGAGCATGGACTTCGCCATTTGCCTTTTACTGAGAAGCAAGCAGTCCACTCCAACAGGTGTGTTTTAGAGAAAAAATAGTATCAAGGCATGGACTCAATTTCAAGTCACTTCCTCTCACTCTGATGAATTTGGAATATAAGTAGACTACCTTTTTATCTCAAGTTTCCTTCAGTTCTCTGAATTTTAAACTGAGAACTTTATATGCCTTCAATTTTTATTTGTTTGTGTTTTTTACATATATGGTTGTGCGTTTTCTCTTGCTAGCATATATTTAGTCTCTTGATGGTGTCAATTTTATGAAAAGAATATTCCTCTGCATATAGCTAAACTAGATTTTTTAAACTAGCTATAAATTGTTGGGATTAACCTTATGCGGAGTAATGACTGATGACCGTGAATGTTGTTTCATTGGGGTGTGATTTATTCCTTTTTTTATATCATCTTTTCTGAAAGCATATGTTTCTTCGCTTTTTAGAAAGTGTACATCATAATGAAATAATGTGTTCCAGCTCACTTTTAGTACTCTTACTCATTTGCTTTCTTTCTTGTTGAATAATTTTGTAGTTTTTCTGTGACACCTAAAATTAACCATTCATGACAAATTAGTTTTAACGTTAAACTTCATTTAGATATTAAGATTTAGCATCATATTGTTCTCTTGTTTGTCTTTACTTTCTATGTCATAAAAAGGGAGTGGCATATCCTTTTATTGAAAAAGGAAACAGAAAAAAGGTAGTGGACTACAACATATTTCTATCTGCAGCAATTGGAACTGTTCACTTTTTTTTTCTCCTTTTGGTATATGTAACTGTTTTATGTTGTATTCTTAAGTTGCCTATCCCAAAACGTAAATTTTTGTTAATTTGTTGGTATAACTAATGCAGGTCAGTATATACTGGGGTTGATTTCTGCAAGAAATTGTGTGGAGTTTTCCATTATTCGAAGGTGAGCATTAAATCAAGGTATTAATAGAGAGACACTTCTGGTTCTGGAGATATATTTACTGAATTCATTATAAAAATCAAAAAAGATCTTTCAGGGAGCCAAATTTCTTACTATTGATACTAGAAATCAGCTCCTTACCTTGCAGTGATTATCATACTTAAATCCTTATGTTTGTATTTGTTGACTGGAATGAAATGGAATGGAATGGTAATTCCTTGGCTTCCTTATTGAATGATCATTTCTAAGGAAATGACCTTCCATTACAATGGTGAATTATGGTTCTATTGGTAATGTAATTAGTTAATTATTTTTTAGGCAAGAATAGACATTTTAAATGAATGATCATCCATTCCAATTAGCCAAACACTACCTTATAGTCCAAAATTATTTCTAAAGAAGAGGCAAATTTTGCCTTTGAATTAATTTGTGTTTTTCATTATTTTTCAGGTCAGAATTGCTTAGAAAGATACAAAATATGGTTAAGAATTCAAGGACTTTGTACTTCAAATTTTTTCATTTTTTAATATATGTAATCCAGTTAAATTTTTTTTTACTAATTCCTTTGTATATAAGTTTGAACATAAATAAAATATATGATGTTATTCTTTTGTGTTTTAAGTTTTTTTTTTTCCAGTTTATTTCCAAAACTAACTTGTGTCAAAAATTAGATAGAAAATGATATGATAACTGTCATATAATATAAAAAATATATTATTATATTAAAATTTAAGTTTGTATTAGATGTGTGAGTCATATATAATAAAATATTTTTATGTTAGGTGACTGTTAATCTGTTATTTTTTATTTAATTTTTAATTTTAAGAGTAAATTGAAAAAAACTTAAAACGTGAAGGGCAAAAGTGGAAGGGAAAAAAAAAACGTTTAGAAGTTAAAGTGAAAAAATAGTCAAACATAAAAGGAATAAAATATAATTTACCCTAATAAAAATGTCACAAAAGCTTCACAACAAACAAAAATGAGTGAGACCCCCACCACCTCCAGTGAATGCTGATTGGTTCATTTTTTTATTTATTTTTATTTTTTTGTCCTCCTCTCTTTGACCCCCACGTGTATGTAGCGGTGGTGGGGTCACCCCCCACTGGGGGTATGCATCAACGCTGCATAACAAATCACATTGCAAAATATTTATAAAAAATTTAAAATTTTGTGACCAATCATAAATGCTCCTAACTCCACCTTTGTTTATGGTACATACTTTCTTAACTATCATCACAAAAGTTCAGAATTAACCTCAATATGAATTTAAATCACATTATTTTAAAGAAAAAATTATAAATCTAAATTATACAAAGTGTTAAATTTGAATTACATATATATTTTTTTTTTGAAATTTTAGTTTTTTGAGTTTGCAATCCATATCAATCATGCAAAACCTTTATTTCTAATATCATTCACTGAGTACCCAAGCTCACCCTCTCTATATATATGTAGGTGATGAGCAAGAAGGCAATGAGGCCTAGACGTGTAGCCGATGTGTTTTTGGGTGCATTGCCGACGTGTTTTGGATTAGCATTTTGTACCATCTTGAAGATTATGCTTCTTAGTCTATATTTCATGTGTACTTGTATATGTCGGCTTGAGAAGCCTTTTGGTCAAGATGTATTTTGTATCTCATTCCCTTATTGTATCTAAGTTGTAAGACTTTGTAAAAATGTATGTCATTTCATTGGACTTAAGCACGGCTCTCATGGACTATTAGATTCAGTATATGTATATATGTTGCTTCCGCACTTGTAAGCCCCATATTTTATACTCTGATTGTGTATGATTCTTGTAAGTCGGCCTTCGGTAATCTCGGATTACTAGCCATCACGGCACCAAACTACTAGGGGCGGTTTGGGGGCGTGACATACATATTGACAAGAACAGTAAACTCCAATGCCCAAAACATTTGCTGCAATCAAAAACATATTGACAAGAACAGTAAATCAAAAACTCAAGTTTCTACATTTCCAAAATTCCAAGCTCTAATATGAGACCTTAACTGGTGTGTCCAAACCTCAAATTGAGACATCAAAACCTCATCAATCCTATTAACTCATGTCTGACTCAATCAACACATATCCCATAATGCCCAAACAATTAGCATAATGGCCAATAAAAATCAACATAACAATCAAGTTATAATGCCCAAACCCTAACAAGCAATCATAACCCTAATAATCAATAATTGAGGAATCTGGAAACATGTTCTACAAATTCAAGCCAAAACCAAAACCCTCACACAAATTTCAACTATTTTTTTCTTAGCAATCAAACAAAAACAGAAACCCTAGTTTTTTATTGTGGTATCTTTTTTTCTGCTGAAGATCCGTAGCTGAAGATCTGTTATGCGAATCAACACCCGTAGCTGATGAGAGGATTTGAAAAAGATTAAGGGCTCGAGGAGATAGTGAGTAAGGAGAGAGGAGAGGATTTGCAAGGAGAGAGTGAGTAGACAGAGATGAGAGGAAGAGATCTCAACTCTGAGGAAAGAAGGAAAAATGAAAAAATAAAAAATAAATTGAATTGCTGAAACGACGTTGTTTCAGCAATTCGGGCCATTCGAAGAAAAATTTTTCGAACTATAAAACATTTTTCAAATAACAATTTTCCAAACACCGATTATATATAAAATTAAATTTTCAATCTTTGCGCCAATTCTAGTCACCCACAAATAGAGAGGCACGATTCTTCCCCTTTTTAAGCAAGATAGAATTTCCAAACACAGCATGGCTCTTCTTTTCCAATTCTCTTTGCCTCTCTTTCTGATTCATTGTCCCTAATTCAGTTTTTTTAATCTGCCATCTCCGAAACTACCATCTCTCTGGTCTCTGGAATCCTCTCTCTCTCTCTCTCTCTCTCTCTCTCTCTCAGAAATAATCTCTCGCTTGCCTTTTCGCACGCACTCGAGCACCTTCACCACCACCAACGTCCTTCGCGACCTCACCCGCAACTACGACTGCGACTACCACCGGCTACTACGACTATCTGTTAAGTTCTCTTTCTCTCACTCATTTGTTGCTCTCACTCTGCCCCTTTCCCTCTCCTTCTAATTTTTAAAACCCTAACAAGTGCTTTTTTAATGCTAAGCTTGGTCAAAGTCGTCTATCTCCTATGTGATTTTGATTTTGATCCAATTTGTTCACTTCCAAGTTCTTTTTCTCTAATTTTTATGTGTAAATTATGCACACCACCTGTTTGCTAATATGCCTCTGAAAATAGAAAGTATAAAATCTGTTGGTGTCTCAACCATGAATAAAGAGGCATTCTAACTACCAGCTACCAACATTAAGCTATAAAATCTGGAATAAAAATTTATACTCTTGGTCTAGTAACAAATTATGAACCTTACCAAGCTTAAACAAAAGAAATCTAAGGCTGCTTTCAGAAGGTGCAGTATAGCCATCAGCAGGCTCGGCCTTGAGATTTCTGGGGCACGAAGCCGATAATCAATTAATAAATTTTTGGGGCCTTCACATAAAAATGAAAAAAAAAAATTGAAGGTAAAAGACAAAAGATTGTGTCAAAATCACAAAAAATACTTAGTATTATAGTACAACAACTAATATAAGTGTCGCTTGATCCTCGCTTTTCTTGCCGTTTTAGAAGCAAATAAATAAATCATACTTGCATAATTTAATTTTTTTGCAAAATCATTTTCAATGATAACAATGCTAATTATTTTAAATGGGCCTTTCAATTTTTTAATGGGTGAATTTATTTTAAGTTAGTTTGGACCTTCTTTAATTTTTTTTATTTAAAACATACCTAAAATATTACAATAAATTATAATAGGAGGGGACCCTTTTTTTGGGTCTATTTTTAATGGACGACAATGTTACTTTTTTTGAGTGAGCTTTTCAATTTTTTGATGGGTCAATTTATTTTAAGTTAGTTTGAGCCTTCTTTAATTTTTTTTAAATTTAAAACATACCTAATATATTACACTAAACCATAATAGGAGGGCTCTTTTTTAAGCCTATTTTGAGGGGCCCTAGGCCATGGCCTGGTTGGCCCATGCCCAGGGCTGGCCCTGGCCATCAGTTCTAGGTGGTGGTGATTATTAGGAAATTGTTGAGATATAGAAGGAGCTAGAATTGATTTGAAGGACCCATCAAATAATGTAAACTGTCTGCTATCTTCTTTGATAGTCAACTCATTAATTCCATTAGTCCTGTAAAAAAAATTTCCATTTATTTTTTTTATTATTACTATTATTATTTTGTTTCTTATTGAAATAATATTACAGGTGTGCACCTTCTACTGAAAGGAGTCTTTTCGTATGGAAGCCCATGCAGATATGAACATGTTAAAGTTTCTCGATCATAGTCCTCCATTGCATCTTCGTCCACAATTTCTTACCAATTTTTCATTTCTGATTCAATTTTTGGTCTCATCCATTCTGTATATCTTGTATCAGGAATTGGCGTTGTAGTTCCCCAACCTCTGGAATGAATGTCAACTCTACATTGAGGGCCTGCCCAATATGTAGAAAGGTTTCATACTTTGTCATTCCTAGTGTCATGTGGCATTCTACAAAAAAAGAAAAGTAGGAAATTGTTGACTGCTACAAAGCAAAACTCAGGTATAATTATGTGGGTCATGTACTTCTCTTGAAATGGTTATTAGTTCTCCAATTCTCTTAGGTATAGGTTGTCTCAGGTTTGTTATAGTAGATTCTTCTATTAATATATTCTATAAAAGTGCAATTATTGCTCTTTATAAGTTTAGTTTTGATACGAGGATTGGGCACAAATCCACAATAGTTAGTTACTCAGTCCAAAACTATTAAAATATGATATTAATGATGAGTTAGCTATTAGAAATGATTAGAGATGGGAATTAAGGGTTTGAAGCATGATGCTGTGGCATACAACACCATGATTGATGGGTGTTGTAGAATTGGAAAGGTTGGAAGGACAGAAGAGTTTTTCAGAGAAATGGGGTTGAGTGGTGTGGAGAGTTCTTGTGTCACTTTTGATCATCTCATTAATGGGTATTGTAAGATTGGGGATGTGAGGCTTTGGAGTTTTTGAGAGTTGCGATGAGAACACATGAGATTACACCGACGAGGAAGAGTTACGAGTTTCTAATAAAGGGATAAGAGAGGAGGACAGAAGAAGCATTGAAGCTTCAGGCAGATATGGTAGGGAAACGGTTTGAACCGAATTTGGAGATTTATAGCGCTTTTATTGAAGCAAATACAAAACAAGGGAATGATGAACTAGCAGGGATGTTAAAGAAGGAAATGCTAGAAACTCAAATGCCTAAGAAACAAGATTAGCTGATTTTATCCCTCAGCATTGTGAGGTACCTTTGTTTTGTGGTCAGATTGCTGCAATCTTAAATGTATGATTTTGTTTTATGTAACATGAATTAGTGTGCATTTTGAAAGTTTTGTTTTCTTGGCTTTGTACATAGAAGAAATTTGAGCCCTTGCCTAATCATTCCTTTTGCAGAGAGGCAGGCAACACATCTTTCTTGACGTACAGCTTGCTATGTGGTAAAAATTATTTTGGGGGCAGGTGCAACTACCTTAAGTTGGACTTTGCTTCTAGGTAAGTAAATACAAAACCTGGTGAAAGATGCAAAATTCAACTTTAGGGCTTTCCTTTCTAAAATGAAAGGTTTTTTTTTTTTCATCCCATTTGCATAATAACATGTATAGTTTAACTAGGAATTCTTAACACTTGATCAAAATTGGCTTACATTTTAGTAAATTGATGAATTTGTTTAATCCTTTTAGAGAAGATTTAACAGATGATTGCTTGTTTTGAAATCCTCATTGTGAACCACGTCAACCTTCCACTCAAAAGTAAAGAATGCTTTGTCATTCCATGTCTTTGATTTCATTGCCTACTCATTCCTCTTATAAAAGATGAGAATGCAACTTTCTTTCTGTATATATACTGGTAGATTTTTTTGTGGGTTCTATTCACAGAAGACATAACTACCTTAAATTGAAGTTTTGAACAGGTACTTCAAATTTAGCCTACTTTTGCAACCTCACTAGTTGATTTGTACTGCATTCCTATGAACATCACTATATGTTATTGTTCTACTCAGCCATGGAACTTTCTATTTCAATTTGTTCAACAGTCCCTGAGGAAATGTTAATACCATTATAAAAAAAAAAAAAATTTGACATTTTGAAAACAGATATATCGACTTTAGGAGCTTTTATGAGCATATGTCCAAAATTTAGAAGAGGCTTTGAGATCTCAGAAATAAGATAATACTGTTATAGTTTTTTCGTCCTCTTTGTTATATAGTTCGATTGATAGATGTTCTATCTTTACTGATGATATTATATTTGGTTTCCATGGCCGGTTGTTTTCGGCTAAATGTCAATTTTTGGGTAAAGCTTCTTGCCATTGGTTGCTGATAGAGGGGAGGAGATTAGAAGTACTCAATACCATATTATTGTGACAGGGAGGATTTCATACCTTTTTTTGCTCTTTTTTTCAATTTTATTTTATTTAGTCACTCAATGAAATGCCAAATTAACTTGTAACAATTAGGATCTGTGAAGAATCAGAAGGTTAATCCTAGCCAACTCTTTACTACAAGTCTCAAAATTCATTGAACTCTTACCTAACAAAAAGAATAATTCAAATGAGAAGTTGTAAATGAAGAATAATTCAAAAGGTTAATAGAATAAAAATGTTAAATCTTACCAATCAGCATTGCTTTATTGTTTTGACTTTCAGGTTGTGGAGCATGGACTTCGCCATTTGCCTTTTACTGAGAAGCAAGCAGTCACTCCAACAGGTGTGTTTTAGGAGAAAAAATAGTATCAAGGCATGGACTCAATTCAAGTCACTTCCTCTCACTCTGATGAAATTTGGAATATAAGTAGACTACCTTTTTATCTCAAGTTTCCTTCAGTTCTCTGAATTTAAACTGAGAACTTTATATGCCTTCAATTTTTATTTGTTTGTGTTTTTTACATATATGGTTGTGCGTTTTCTCTTGCTAGCATATAATTTAGTCTCTTGATGGTGTCAATTTTATGAAAAGATATTCCTCTGCATATAGCTAAACTAGATTTTTAAACTAGCTATAAATTGTTGGGATTAACTTATGCGGAGTAATGACTGATGACCGTGAATGTTGTTTCATTGGGGTGTGATTTATTCCTTTTTTTATATCATCTTTTCTGAAAGCATATGTTTCCTTCGCTTTTAGAAAGTGTACATCATAATGAAATAATGTGTCCAGCTCACTTTTAGTACTCTTACTCATTTGCTTTCTTTCTTGTTGAATAATTTTGTAGTTTTCTGTGACACCTAAAATTAACCATTCATGACAAATTAGTTTTAACGTTAAACTTCATTTAGATATTAAGATTTAGCATCATATTGTTCTCTTGTTTGTCTTTACTTTCTATGTCATAAAAAGGGAGTGCATATCCTTTTATTGAAAAAGGAAACAGAAAAAAAGGTAGTGGACTACAACATATTTCTATCTGCAGCAAATTGGAACTGTTCACTTTTTTTCTTCCTTTTGGTATATGTAACTGTTTTATGTTGTATTCTTAAGTTGCCTATCCCAAAACGTAAATTTTGTTAATTTGTTGGTATACTAATGCAGGTCAGTATATACTGGGGTTGATTTCTGCAAGAAATTGTGTGGAGTTTCCATTATTCGAAGGTGAGCATTAAATCAGGTATTAATAGAGAGACACTTCTGGTTCTGGAGATAATTTTACTGAATTCATTATAAAAATCAAAAAAGATCTTTCAGGGAGCCAAATTTCTTACTATTGATACTAGAATCAGCTCCTTACCTTGCAGTGATTATCATACTTAAATCCTTATGTTGTATTTGTTGACTGGAATGAAATGGAATGGAATGGTAATTCCTTGGCTTCCTTATTGAATGATCATTTCTAAGGAATGACCTTCCCATTACAATGGTGAATTATGGTTCTATTGGTAATGTAATTATTAATTATTTTTTTAGGCAAGAATAGACATTTTAAATGAATGATCATTCCATTCCAATTAGCCAAACACTACCTTATAGTCCAAAATTATTTCTAAAGAAGAGGCAAATTTTGCCTTTGAATTAATTTGTGTTTTTCATTTTTCAGGTCAGAATTGCTTAGAAAGATACAAAATATGGTTTAAGAATTCAAGGACTTTGTACTTCAAATTTTTTCATTTTTTTAATATATGTAATCACAGTTAAATTTTTTTTTACTAATTCCTTTGTATATAAGTTTGAACATAAATAAAATATATGATGTTATTCCATTCAATATGTGGTTATGATACAAAGGATAGTATATAGTGTGTTACATTCTTCAAATGCATATAAAAATAATATTGATTATTTTTCAAATATGTCGAATCTTTTTTTTATCACAAGCATTAAATGTGATGAGAAATACATATAATGTGTGATCTTATCTCATTATTAATCACATGTTTTATTAGATATTAATCACGCTTAAAATATGTGATCTAAATGTTTATTATTATAGATTTTATTAGTTATACATCATACATAAAAAGTATGATCTAAATGTTTATTATCACATATAAAAAGTGTGATCTAAATATTTATTATCACACGCATAACGTGTGATGAAATTATCCTTTAATAACACTGAAAACATGTGATTAAAAATGATTCTTTTTAATTACACTCTCAAAGATCACACTTTGACAAAACTTAAAATGTGATTAAATAACATACATCACATATAAAAGTATGATCTATTTATGATTTTGTAATAGTGTCATCCTCTCACTAATAATTTTATCTAACCTAATCTACTAAATAAAAGTGGCATAAGTGTTAAAGAGTCTATGTTCAATGAAGCACTATCCCTCAACTAGTCTATGGTTGTTTTTTCACATTGAAAAAGTATATACATACAGTAATGTTAGGTATCATGAAAAAATTTTCATAAAAATAATCATGAAAGCTTTGTGACTCTTGAATTACACTTAGAATAAAACACCACACACTAATCCAGGTAATATAAGGATCATAAATTTTTCATGATCATTATCATAAAAAATTTTTCATGATCTCTAATTTTTCTCATATACATATGCCAAATAGACAATTCATTTAGGAAAACTACCAGACAAATTAATACATTCTACATCATATTTTATTTTATTTTTGTACTAACTGATGTATCATGAAATCTGAAAAAAAAAATTACAATTTAAAACGACATTCACTTTCATAAATGTGATAGGTTGCTTAGTAACTGATATATTATATAATAAAGAAACTTCATAATTTAAAGCATCGACTTACTTTTTTATTTTTTTTTAGATGGAGAAAGCTTAAAAGTCAAATTATAAAATTCCAGCAATATCTTGCAACACCAACTGATGAAGAGAGGAAGGAACATCCTCCATCTAAACCCATGGCGACGAGAAAAGAATAACTGGTCTAGCCAAATCATAAGCAATACTGTCACCTTCCTTACAAACATGAGAGACAAACTATGAGCAAAAGCTACGAAGAGCTTGAGGAAGAGCTTGAGCAACTCAAGTGTGACTTATTTTAATAATGTAATAAGTGTCAGTAATTAAAAATTTAAAGATTTGTTGAGAAAGTGTCTTTTTTAGCGACTTTTTTTTTTGTTAAAACATGACTTGAAAAAGTTTAAAGTGATTGAGAATAAGTTTTTAATTTTTTACAAAAAAATTTAATAACTACAGATAATGGAAATGAGTTTTTGATTTTTGTATATAATTTTTTTGAATTTTTTAATAACTTTTTAATTAAAATGTTCAATTCCTAAATTAACCTTAGTTTGTCTAATATTACTCTCTATTTAGTTTGTGTAATTTTAAAAAGAATATGTCCAATTTGGAAAAGATTGTGATATATACACCTTTACTATATAAAAAAATGGGTATTACTATGGTATCATTTGTAAATTATGTTATTTGTAAGTTTTTAATTATTAGAAATGGCATAACTCAATACTATGAAAATTATAACTTAAAAAAAATTGAATTATAATTAAATATCACATGAGACATAACTAAATAATTTTAAAATCATAATCAAAAAATAATATTATAATCAAAATCATAATATGTTATAACTAATAAAATAATAAATTATAACAAAAAATATAAAAACCATAACTAAAAGTGCACATATATACATCTCAAATATAATTTCCCTTTTATTTGTTTTTTCTTACTTTACCACACGCAGCTTTTTTTTTTCTTTTTTGTTTTTTTAAAAATTGGACCGCGTGCAGCGGTTTTTTTATTTTTTGTTTTTTTAAAAATTAGACCACGTGAGCCCCTTGAATCACCTTTTTTTTGGTTCAGTTTCCTTCCATTATTTTACAACTATTATTATTATTATATTATATTATATTTTTTTAATGAGGCAACTATGCATATAAAACCAACACTTTCGCCTACACAGCAGAGAGAGAGCCGTAGACAATCGATGGCCGAGAATGAACATTCCCTCCGGACAGAATACCTTACGGATGGAGATGGGATCCGTGACTTTCCTCCCGATTTCAAATCATATGTGAAGAACACCCAACTGCTCTGCCAGCGCACAGCCTTTAACTGGGGCTGGGTTTTTTGGAGTGGAGAAGACGACCCACGCGAACGTCTTCCTCCTCCGCCTGCCTTCTCCGGTTAGTTTATCTCTCATCTCATATTACTTACTAGTTGCCTTTCACTTCAATTATTCTCTATTTAACCAGTGTCTTGTTGAAACACTTACTAAAACATATGGGGAAATTAGTGGGTACCCATCCCCTGTGGATATTTAAAGAATATCACTTACCCTACCCAATGGATAAGAAAAAGAGGGGAAAACCCATGTATTTGGGTTTAGTCTCCATGAATACCCACAGGGTAGGTTATCCATTGTCATCTCTAATCCCAACTCCGGTTGTCAGTGTTAAAATATAAGGAAAATATCTAATAGGTGACACAAACAAAACGATAATATGTAGCATTTCTAACTTGTGCTTAAGTAGTAGGTATGTTAACAATTTTTTTATATATTTAGATTTAGATTAGATTAGATTAGATTAGATTCCCACTTTCTTTTCTTGTCGTTTACCTTATTCTTACTTTGCCTTCTATTTTCCCTGATTGCTCCTCCTATTCCAGAGTTAATGGCGAGAATAAAATCCTGTTTCAAAGATGTAATAATGGATCTCTTGCCGACTACACAATGTCTTTTACAGTTTTGGAAAGTCATAGAAATTGGAGGCAAGTGTTTACTTACAACTCGATACCAACCTTTTGGTTTTAACCAGATCAATGAAGGACTTTGTGGGTATAGGTTGATATCTTTGGATTATGAATTTGATGTGGATGGAGTGAGTGACGAACATCTTGGCCTCCTTGGCCGTGTGTTCCGCCATCAACAGCTGGAGTCTACTCCAAATGTGCAGTATTACTCCTGCAATGAGTATCCACAGCGCGATCGTGCTATCATTTGCAATATTAAGTCATCTCTGGTTGTACCATTGTTTGGATTTTCTAGGCGGTGCTGTATTGGTGTATTTGAGATGGTGTCAACAACTGAAATAATAAATAGTCATTTGGGGAGTTTCTTTTATAGGTATACATTGAGGTTTGTCCCCTAACCCCCTAATTGGAATAATCAATCTCATTTTTACGTTCTCTTCTTTACTTTTGTTTATTTATTTATTTGTTTGTTTTTCATGCCTATCCAATGATTGTTAATTTTAATTTTCAATGATGGTTTCTTTTTCTTTTTCTTTTTCTTATTTCTCTTGTTGATGGAGCTCAAATTATTTTACTAGTTGGTTCCATTTTACTGGCCAATATTTTTAATGGTTTGTTAATCTTACCCTTTCATTAATTTCATTGTGTAAATCATTTAACATGGAGTTCGACAACAATTCTTATGCACGTATTGAGCTTTTCATTCTGATATCATATCATTGACATTAATCATTTGGGTAAATTATGCTGATCTCTCGTGAGTCGTGAGAGAAATTGATAATTTCATTATGATGCATAAGGGCCAACAAAAAATATGTCATTGTTAGCTCAGTTAACCTTATCATTAATGTAAGGAAAATTTATGTAATTATAACAAAAATATAAGAATTACTATTTTATTTCTGCTCAAAGTGTTGGACCAATTGAAATACTCCATGTCGGGGTAAGGTGCACCTGTCCAAAGCAACGAAACTGATTTTGGACAATTATACAATACCTTGGTGCAACCTAAGTTGGTCGGTTTAATAGCCTCAACTGTGCTGATTTTTTCATTTACTGTATACAATGTTTTGGTATTATTATTTATAAATCAACTTATTTACTTAAAAAAGGTTGACTAATAATATTTGGTTGTAATTTTAAATTATAACTTATTTGATTTATTCAGTTTATTTGATCCCAAAAAAGAAAACAAAAAATTCTTCATAATTTATAGCTCTTTTTAACTGAAACCCTTTAATAAGTCTGGCTAAAAGAGTCTGATTTCTTTTGTCTTAATTATTAGGAAAAAAAAAGTTATGTGGCAGTTTATTTAATTAAACAGATTCAATTTTTTTGCACAAATTATCAAAAGTTGTACCAAATAAATTTATAATTTATTTTAATTACTTTTAGCTAATAATGTAAAAGGCTATAGTCATAAAAGTTAACTTGTAAGCAATACTATTTTATTCTTGCAAATATCTTTCAGTTTAAGTCTATTAAGATTCTTCAATTATATCATTTCAGTCTTCTGCAGATTAAAGGTCTGCCAAGTTCAAAATGTGAACATTTGAACTGTGAGAAAGTAAGTAGCAAACTGTAATTCAAACGTCAAATCTTGTATTGTTTTGTTCATTAGCTATTGTAACAACTCCGGGCTAACAAATATGTATTCGTGAATTATTATCAGGTCAAGGATGAAACTCCTGAAGAAATCAGGAAAATGCTAGACGTGGTGTATAGCACTCATCATCTACCTTTCGCTCAGACTTGGTCCTTGTGTAGGCTTTGCAATGCTGTGTTTAAAACATATAGAACTTGTCATAGAGAGGGACATATGGATGATTTTTTAGCAGTATGTGCTTTACAGCAGCTACGAAGAGGGAAGGGGATTGTTGGGAGAGCAATTTCGTCCCAAAATTTGGTATTCTGCAAAGATGTTACTCAATTTAGCATAACTGAGTATCCTTTCGCACACTACACACGCAAATTTGGATTTACAGGTTCTTTTGCAATTTGCTTGCGGAGTAGTTATATTGAAGACAATGTTTACACGCTAGAATTCTTTTTGCCTCCAAACTACACTGAAGGTAGGGATTTGAGGACTGCTTTGGTTCCGTTATTGACAACAATGAAGCAGCATTGTAAAAGTTTTAAGGTTGCTTCTGGAGAAGAACTAGGAGAAGAGTTATCTATTGAAGTTCTTGATTTTTCAGAGGATGGGAAACTTTATTCTTATCAAATACCCCAGACTGCAAGATCTCCAAATAGGATGGAGAATGGAGAACAGATGGATCTAGATTTATTCGATCAACAATTACCAAAAGTGGATGTTGTAGACACCGGAAACAATGTTGTTAGTAACGCAGAAGAAAACAACATCGTTGTTACTTATATTGAAGACAATGTTTACACGCTAGAATTCTTTTTGCCTCCAAACTACACTGAAGGTAGGGATTTGAGGACTGCTTTGGTTCCGTTATTGACAACAATGAAGCAGCATTGTAAAAGTTTTAAGGTTGCTTCTGGAGAAGAACTAGGAGAAGAGTTATCTATTGAAGTTCTTGATTTTTCAGAGGATGGGGAACTTTATTCTTATCAAATACCCCAGACTGCAAGATCTCCAAATAGAATGGAGAATGGAGAACAGATGGATCTAGATTTATTCGATCAACAATTACCAGAAGTGGATGTTGTAGACACCGAAAACAATGTTGTTAGTAACGCAGAAGAAAACAACATTGTTGTTACTTCTGTACAGCAAAATTGCATAATTAACTTGTCCCAGAGACTACAAAGAAAAGCTGGAATTCCAATTAGCTTGGAGGATCTCCAGCAACGTTTTGGAATGAAACTTAAAGATGTTGCAGAAAGCCTTGGCGGTAAGCTTACATACTTGGGATACCCATTCCTCGCTGGATCCTTTGGAAAATTCATATACTTTTGGTAGTAGTAAACAAAGTATATTTTCTTATCTAGAATTTGGATTTTTCGTTTTGCAGTTAGCCGATCTACAGTGAAGCGTGCTTGCAGGGAATATAATATCACCTGGTGGTCACCTGGCAAGAGAAGTAAGGATAACCAATTGCTTTCCAATAAAGGTGTTGTTCAGGAACAAATCCTAGAATCTAGTCATCCTCCATTTTTTGATCCACTTCATATGCAAGACATGGCTACTGCTTCTCGCACAAAGCCACATTTTCCAACAGCGCAAGACACAAGTATTGTGACCATAAAGGCAAAATATGGAGATGATTTTATTAAATTTCAGCTCCCTGTGTTGTCAGGAATGGTAGAGTTTCAACAGCAAGTGGCAAAGAGGCTAAACCTACAGGGTGGAACTTACCGTGTCAAGTATCAAGATGAGGTCAATGACTGGATTTTAGTAGTTTGCGATGAGGACTTGCAAAATTACATTTGCAATTCGATATCACGAGAGAGGAATACAGTCACAATGTTGATTCAGCCAATTACTAATTGCCCATCTTAAATCCGTACTCCATCTATCATTTTAGGTGCATGTGGAATTCTCTAGTTTACATTTAAAAGACAATTGAAAGTTTGTATCTTGTATGCTTGTTACAAGTTTGTATGAATTTCATGTACTGCGTGTTGTTTACTTAATTGATTATATAATATGATTCAAATTTGTCTGTTAGATTGTAAAAAATTCTTAATCTTAGGGCATGGTATTGTTTTAATTTTAAATTTGGAAAAAAAAGAAAAAGTAACAGAAACAAAAGTTAAAAATTCAATATTCAAATACAACGTAAGTGACATTTGCAAATGGCTACAATTGCAACTGATTAAATTTTATTCTAGACATTAGAATTCAGTGTAGTCTAAATTACATTTACCGCTCTTACATTACCCAAAACAAAATTATCTAGAATTTAAAATCTAAGACCAAAATGCATTCATAGAGTGATCCCACAACAAAATGATTAAATCTACACTCTACTTCTAAAATTCTATCATTTTTTTTTCTTGATTTTATAAACAATTTTACTTTAATCCCTTCATTTTTATTTAACGACAATCAACCTCTTACATTTTAAATTAAGGTACAATATAACTTCTGTCCACTAGACTTTAAGAGGCTAAAATAATTTTCCTTATTTAACATTTCTTCTAAACACACATAATTTTCAAAGTAATTCTCCAACAAAATTGAGTGAAGCTCACACACCTGTCACCTTTCTAGTATACATACACATATACATGCATATATATATATATAGAGAGAGAGAGAGAGAGATTTCTTTTCCATGGATAAAACCACTTGTTGCTGAACTTGTCATGTATGTTTTGAAACTTGAATATAGACAATTTGGGCATTCTGTATCACATTTAGAGTGTCCTCTGCATATTGGATAGTTCTATAAAAATTGATAAAATGGAGGTGGGAAGGCATATTTGAAGCTGGCTGCTAACTGGCCCTGAAAATGCCGATGGACCAAGCTTGTAAATATACAAATCGGAGGATACATACATTTTCATAAACAAATTCAAACAGCAGTGAAGGCAGTGTCAGTCGCAGCGGCACCACATGTAACATGGAATAACTGGCACAATTCATGATTATGAATATTGGGGGAGATGCAACCGACATATTATCCTCCACATCACCGCTAGTAAGGTTTCCTGCCGTTTTAGTACAGACTGATCAAGGACCATGTTTCTGAATTCGAAAATTAGGTTTTGAGCGATCATTCGCAGATTGGGCTGCTGCGAGCTCTTTCATGACTTCCTTTTCTAATTTCTTCTTTTCAATATCTGCTTGCTGCTCATTCTCGTCACGTGCTTTATTGAACATCTTAACAAAGACAGCCAAGATTTGTGTAACTGCAGGCAGAAACTGAAAAAATTAACAAAAAATTTTCTAACTATTATTAACTGAGTTAAATTAATGGGAACTTAAACATTCAATAGAAGACAAGATCAAAAAAACAAAAAAATTCCATGGCTCTTTCTTCTGGAGGTTCTGTGGCCGCATTGACATGCCTAATTATTTTTCATGCAAAAATTATTTTTTTTTGCCGAGGATTCTAATTGTTTAAGATAAAGCAATTGCATTTGGCCACTTTGGTCTAATGCTCAATGTAAAGTTTATTTGTATATGATGGTTAACATAGAATTTAAGGATCATGACTAGACGAAATAATCCAAAAAAAACCATCATGGTCTCAAAACTCATTGCTTATTCTGTGTCCACAAGTAGTATGCGCTCAAAATTGCAATTTAAGATATTGTTGTAACCAACAATATGATAGTATACACCCAATTCTTCGTATTAAATTCACATACTATACTCATAATTAGAAAACTAAGTTACCTAGAATGTGGATTGTTCTGATACGTGGAACGAGAACAGCATATGCCCCATGCTCTCTAAAATGTGGCATAGTATGGAGGACTTATATAAAATACTTTATTAAAATTCAAGGTGTTTCTATATTGAATTCTTTTTTCCTTTAAATTAATCATGTTATAACACATTTATATGAGCATTATAACCAACTATTCATGGTTTTTCCTGGCAAAACTTTCCTCTCCTTAGATTTTAGCTCACTATATTTGATTTTTTTTCCTCCCAAGGAAACTGTTTAGGAAATATATTGGAAAAAAAATTTGTTATCACTTTGGATTCACCGTTTCGGAAAGAAAATATACCATGTTTCAAAACATACGTTCCAAAACCTAAATCTCTAAGGTATTAGCATTTTTTGGTAACACTAGTAGAAATATTTCAATGAAATTTGGCTCTTACCAAGTTAGCTAGACTTATGCAATGAACTATGTTAGCATTTTCACTTCCATCATCTAATCTAAACCTACATACAGATGCATCTCTAACATAATCCTTGTGGCAGATCAAAAGAAATGTAGTGAACTTCCCTACTTGAGTACATAAATGTGGAAAATAAAACCAAACCTTGTTCAAAAGGGCACCTAGCTGGATCCTCCCCAAAATACTGAGACAAGGAATCTGCACTTCTTCTCTACAAGATAAATGTGTCAGTGAACTTAACTAAGCAAGAACTTGTAGATTTTAACAAAAGAAAGAAAAGAAGGCTCACCACTTCAGAGTACAAGGAGATAAGTGACCTTACTTCAGCTTCAGCAGTATCAAGGAAATTCTTCAAGGCCTGAAAGGTCGAGTACTGATTCTTAGCTTTGCATTAAAAACAAACATTTTTTTTTCTTTTTGTAATTCTACTCCTATGCAATTTAAAGACTCGACATTCAAAATCAAGGAGAAGCAATAGATAACAGAGACCATAATAGTTTCAAGGAAAAAACTACAAAATTTCATAACCAGAAAACACAAGCTCACATGACAGGAATCTAAAACATACGAACAAATGATGCTGTTAAGATTCTTGTGCGAGCCATATGGATATGATTTCATTGTCAATGCCTCATTTGGGAACAAGCTATTTTAGTAAGGCCTGAAAGGTCGAGTACTGATTCTTAACTTTGCATTAAAAACAAACATTTTTTTTTTCTTTTTGTAATTCTACTCCTATGCAATTTAAAGACTCGGCATTTGAAATCAAGGAGAAGCGATAGATAACAGAGACCATAATAGTTTCAAGGAAAAAACAACAAAATTTCATAACCAGAAAACACAAGCTCACATGACGGGAATCTAAAACATACGAACAAATGATGCTGTTAAGATTCTTGTGCGAGCCATATGGATATGATTTCATTTTCAATGCCTCGTTTGGGAACAAGCTATTTTAGTGACTTTTTGGCTTTTTAGCTAAAATATGAGGCAAAAAAAAACTAGTATGTTTGGAATGACTTTTTGATTTTTTACAAAAAGATGTGCAAAAAGTAGAGAGAAAAGGAAATCTTTGACTTTTTTATATAGATTATAGGCTTTTTGATTTTTTTAGTAATTTTTTGACTTTTAGGCTAAAACAAGCACATGCCAAACAAGGTTATGCCAAACAACTTTTTGACTTTTAGGCTTTTTAGTAATTGTTTAAAAGTGATTTTTTACTTTGATAACAGGGACCGAGCCTCTGTACCACACTCTCCCAACCTCAACTAAAAGTTCCACTAGAAAATTTCTGCCAAGTCCACTTTTCAATTATTCTAATCGATTACCGCACCATCATCAACTTAATGTTAGCATGGCTAATATTCCTCAGTGAAATAAAACCAAATTTACTGCTGAATTTTCCACTAAGATTAAAATTTCAGTATTGGCAAATCCTCTTTATCTTATATCTCAGCATCACCGTCAACAAACATACACCAGTTTTGTCATGAAACTAGAATTATGTACATCTATGAAGATCCAACATAAATCTAGAAAAAAAATAAATAAATAAAATAAAATAAAAAAGAAAGAGTAACCTAGTGTCCCAAGTATGTCTCCTACCTTTTGGAAGCCTGCAGAGATGGCACCATCATTCTCTGAAGCAGTGAGTACTTGCTCAACCTTTTCAAGACCTTTACTCACAGCTTGCATTTCTTCAGCTAAAGACTTCAATTGGATCTGGCCATTTGATATGCAGATGGAACAAGCAATAAATTGTACAAATCAACTAGAGACACCCTATTCACATATTACATTAAGAAAAATGCAAACCTTAGAGGCTGCTTCCAAATAAACGGATCAAAATCCAGCAACTCTGGCATCTTCTCGACAATGAGCTAATGAAGACAGGAAAGCACTTGACATAGCATCACACAAGAATTCAACGAAACATTGGAAGAATAAAATACAAAAATGATGTTGAACATGCACAACAAAATGGAAGCTGTTAAACAAATATGGTGAACTATTCAAGAAGAGAAAATAGTTAACACATGCAAACCAATTAAAAGAACCATTATAAATTTGTACATACAAAATTACTCTCTAAAAACTCAAGAATGTCAGATAAACAAATTTTGTTTCATAAAGAAAACTTCAGTGTTACACGTTATCAGACAAATATCTAGCAAGTAGTAACCAAAATTCCTTTTCAAAAAGAAGAGTGAGCATTTTTCCTTTCAAGCATATGTATAAATTGTTCTCTTTTATAGAAAACATTGTATGCCTACTCCTGGGGCATAAATCAAGCTCCTGAGGTCGCTATGATTGAGTGATTACTGACTTAAATGATGGTGAACTCGACAAGATAAGTCATCTTTAACTATAAAATAATTCATACATATGGAAATAAAAATTCAATGAGGCATTTTTGAAGTGAGAATTTTGACATTCCGACCTTGCACAAATAATGCATCAATGTCATTTTATTGTTCCTTGCACGAATATCAGACAGCTTAAGTAGACTGTTCAATTTGAATCCTATGGCAGATCCTGAAATACAAAGGAGGACACCAATGCCAAAGCTTTCCACTAAACAAAATATTACAGATCATAACAAACTTCAATCTCACAGAATAATACCTCGAGCAGTGCCTTTGTTCAATGCATTTCCTAAAGTGAGAATCGTCTGCATTACTTGACGCAATTTCGCAGAATCTTTTACCTACAATAACGGGTATGATATGAAGGTACTGAAAATGATCTCTCTCTAGTACTAACTTCTCAAACCCTAAATAAAAGGAAGTACCTCTCTAGCAGCAGCGTTAATTGTGTTCAGGTTACATCTTAAGTCATTCATCTGAACAAGTTTGA